GAGATGAGGTCTTGCTGCCCAGGCGGGTCTCGAACCCGCGGGCTCAGGCAATCCACTCACCTCAGCCTCCCAAAGGCGCGGGATTACAGGCTGAGCCACCGAGCCCGGCATCTCTTTTGCCCTTAACATATGCACATCTCCCGCCCTAATAGGTCTTAGCTCGCTCCATGTGGCTCCCTATACATAATATCCCATTTCTTGACATTTTATTGCCAAATTACTTGCTGCCTTCATTTTCTCCCCATTGATCCCTCCCTAACTACATCTTCACTGCTCTCTCAAAGTCATCAGTAACTGCCTTCTGGCAAAATCCAGCGGCTTCCTCTCGGTCCTCACACTTCCTGCCCTCTGAACCTCTAGCAGCCCTCAGCTTGCTGACCACTTTCAAATGCTCCTCCTGGAAGTACCATGACACCACACTAACCCAGTTCATTTCTACTTTCCTCTTTTTTTTTTTTCCTGACACTGATTTCTCCTCCTTTCACCCAAGCAGTTTATCCCAAAGATGTGAATGACTAATAGTTATACTCACTGCATCAACCTTCCCCAGAGTATCTACATTTTAAATGAGATTGCTTATTAACCCAAAGTAATGAATCTCTGCCAGAGACTGTCAGGGAGTGTAGAAAGACGTTTTGGGAGAGGGAGACAATTCTAACACCCGATAAATCAAACCAGGTGACATAATCAACCTTTCTCCCCTACCCTAGCCCCTTTCTAAAAGAAATAATCCATCTTCAGCTCTCTGTGCTCCTCTCTGGGTATTTACTTCCTAGGAAGGCACATCTGTCAGGGACATCTAAATCTCTGTCTGTAACTCTGACCTCTCACCCACATTACCATACTACCTCAACAGCTGCCTACAGGACCTCTCCACTCAGATATCTTCAGTCACTTGAAAGGTAACAGGTCTAAAACTACATTGATTATCCCCTCTAGCTCATGGGTCACCGATTCCTGTTGACTTTCCCTTCTAAAGGTGTCTCAGGTTTGCTCCTTCTGCTCTATTCCTTCTGCCACCACCATTGTCAGGGTGTGCTTCTCACTTTCCATCCCAATTGGTTTTTGTTTCTGGTCCATCCCTTCCAGTTCACCTGACATATGTAGCTGTCAGATTAAGTGCCAAACACTTCTTTCAGAGTGTTTTTCTACTACTCGGGATTCTTTTATTGTTTCCTCTTCCATTTCCTGCAGCATCCATCTGAACCACTCTTGCCTGATGTGCAAGGTTCTGCATAACCTGACTCTAGCTGACTCAATCAACCTTTTCTTTCACCACACCCAACACACTTTCTTTGCTTTCAGCAGGCTTGTTTCCTTACAGGGAAAAAGCCATGTTTCTATTCTCTCCTGAGATGAGAATGACTTTTACCTTATGCAATCTTCCCCTTTTTTGTGGCCACTCCTCAAGTCTTATAATCATCCATAAGTTCTTCTCTATCTCTCCCTTCTCTGAATTTCTATGGACTCTATTGCTGAGATTGTGAAATCAGATACTATTTGGTTTGTTTCTAGTTACAACTTGTATTTTAATTGGTTTGTAATGCGTTGTTTGAAAACAGGGATCGTTGCTTGTGTTTTCTTCCTATTTCCCACAGCACCTGGTAGGGTGTTGGGTAAGGAATAGGTTCTCAGTTTATGATTTGAAGGTTCCAGCACTTGACCTCAATGGAAAAACAAATAAAGGAAGCAAACAATGAAAGATGGAAGAAATGATGCTGAGATTTGAAACATCTTACCTCACACGTTCCATACTGCACCATTACTTGTGACATAAAAATCACACTTCCCAAGGTTTTAATATCCTCCCCTTCCCATGCCTGAATAGGTTCAGAAAGTATCTGCAACTCCAGCTGTTTTCTCTTTCTCAGATCTTGGCACTGCCCCTACAGAACCAAAGCAGAATGTAGTAGAATACAAATTATTATGAAACAGACCTAAAACAAGATCAAAGTAAGACATGGCTCCTGACTCTTGGGTTCTGAGTCCCTACTCCTCACCATGAATCCCATGACCAGACCTGTTCTGACAGACAGAAAGATCCGCTACCCTAATTCTCTAGCCTTGAGCCCCAAACGTCTTATGAAGAAGGGCTAGTTGTCATTTTGCCAAGACATCAAGACAAAATGCTGGAAGGGGCTTATTTCTCCCTCCCTGTAAAGAGCATGGAAAGGTAAGTAGCCAAATCACGTCAACCAGAGCCAAGAAAGCACCCGATAGATTCAGGTCTTCTGACTTGTGCCTCTGCTCATCCCACCTTGTCTATCTTTGAGCAAATAGGACTTTAGTTACAAATCAATTGTATTTTTCTAATATATGTTCAGTTTCCAACAAGGCAACATCTTAAAAATAACAAAAATCCAAACTATGACTCCAGGAGCAATAAAAATTAAATTAAATTATTTATGCCACAGTGAATAAAACTGATCTTATAATGAAACATAGACACTGTTGTACTTTGTTTAGGGACCAACAGTAGATTGCTATGAAAAAAATGCTAAATTAATTTTTATTCCTAAAAGCGTTGGAAAAAGGCTGGGCTCCGTGGCTCAGCCTGTAATCCCAGCACTTTAGGAGGCCAAGGTGAGTGGATTGCCTGAGCCCACGGGTTCGAGACCTGCCTGGGCAACTTGGCGAGACCTCGTCCCTACAATAAATTAAAAAATTAGCCGGGCATGGTAGCATGCACCTGTAGCTCCAGCTACTTGGAAGGCTGAGGCAGAAGGATCACCAGAGCCCAGCAGGTCGATGCTGGGGTGACTGTGAGTGTGCCACTGCACTCTAGCCTGGGTGATGGAGTGAGACTCCAACTCAAAGAAAAAAAAAGGATTGGAAAAAAAAAAAAGATACAATTGAATTTCAATAACAAACTGAAAATTCAAACCAAGAAACAATTTACAGTTTGACAACACTATGTGGCATATAATACTATATTTATATTTATGTGTATATATTTTTAATCACTGCTTCAGAAAGTGTGAGGTTATATTAAAGTAAATTAACAGTATGCATTCCAAATTGAATATAAAAATAAGCACATGGTTAGTTATGTTACTGTTTCCAAATGAATGTAATGTAATAATTTGGGGGAAGTAGGTTTTCTTTAAAATCTCTGCTCCCCGTTTCAGCTAAATGGAGACTTGACTATCAAAGAAAGTTTTACAACATTATCAGAAAGAAATATGGGTTTAAAACAAAGAGGTATTTTACATAGGAAAAAATAAAAGAGCCACAAATTATAATAAATGCATGGCTGTTCTACTAGCTTGAGCCATGTAAAACCGCCAATGTTGGACTTTCTTTGACTAACAACAACAGTTTTAACCTAATACTTTACTCTGGCCTTCAACTTGCTGTTTCACCATGGACACATCAGTTACTGATCTTTCAACAGCAATGAAAATGAGCTGATGGTGAGTGTGGCATCACAATCTCACAGCAAGGACTCATAACTAAATGTTAGTCCAAACCACTTAAAATGCACAGAATTGTCTGAAATGAAGCTAAACTTAATCAATCACCCAAAATAAACCTTTATTTCCTTCTAAAATGGCATCAAGTGGTTTTACATCGGTGGCTTCAAAAAGACACCTTAACTATCACAGTGGAGATACAAGATTACAGGTACCTTTGATAGCAATCTATATAAAGCAATTGTATTTTAGTAGTCTGGTGGTTTTTTTCCTTTTAGATTTGATGAAGTATTTCTTCATATGCAAAGAACAAACGCATACCTTTGGCATAACTAGTCGAATCCAGTATTGACGCCAATCAGTGAATGACGAGTCATACAGACATAAGGTGAGCAATGGGGGTAGAGACAAAGAGACAAAAGAAAACCCCCACCTACACACCAATGCTTAATGTGGCCAAGACTGTCAATGCGATTGCTTTATACCCTCAGCCTGGCAACCTTTCATAGGTAAGCATGATTTTTGAAGGACAAAATTAAATGAAAGAATCACTGCGATACTGTCATGAAAGCTTATCATTTCCATTCTAAAGACCTTTGCTTAAGGAAAGAAATGTCGCACACAAATCACTTTTAGGAACAAAGTATATGACAGGGAAAATTATAAAACATCACCTACCATGAGAGTTTTGAATGCCACGATTGCTTTCAGAATATCCTGATGATCTGGATGAGTATCCTATTAAAGGAATACATTTGAAAACAATATTACAGGAGACTGGATGAGCAGTTGCCAGGGGTTGGGGTGGGAAGTGTGGCCACAAAAGAATAGCAAGAGAGAATGAAGGGGAGGTGATGGAACTGTACTGTATCTCAATTGTGGTGATGGTAAAATAAATCTGTACCTGTGAAAAATTTATAGAACTGTAGAAGTGTGCACATGAAGAAGAATGTCCATTTTACTGTATGCTAACTTAAAGATTAAAAACAACAACATTTGAGCATTTGGAACCTCAACACCTCCAGTTATTAGGTGATTAAGAAATTAAGACAGCTTTCTACATATCATATATTTAGTAACAACGTAGTAAGTGTGGTTATTGAAGCATTTTCCTTTTTGCTATTATACTTTGGATAATACATATTTAATAAGAAATATAATAAATAATTGTGGGGGACATGGTTAGGCCGTGTTGTTGGTAGATGACAGGAGGTAGAGGATTGTGGAAACAGAGTGGTAGTTAAAGAAAAAAAAAATCTAATCTCATTTCCTAAAATGTCTCCATTTTATTTCAGTGACAGCAGCATGGCAGATGAGATAAGACTCTAAGTTTCATACCATGTGCTTCTTTTTAATGAAATTACATGTGATCTGCAATTCCAATGTACTTGTAACTCTGAAAAGTGAGTTCAAAAATGACTCTGAGGGAGCCACAACTCCGTAACTGTTTATGCAGGAAAGTAGAGATTTCTGGAGGACGATGTGTGCTTAACATTGGGATATATGGGATATACAACCTTAGGGGGTGTATGTATACCTAACCCTTGGAACTCAGCTGGAGTAATTTGAAGACTAACTCTCCTGGTTAACCGGTCTCAGGTGATAAAATACAAAGCTTGAACAGGCTAGAGGGCTGATCCAAGCCAAAAATGGCATTGCTCATAAAAAGTAAGGTTGTATTCCTTGTTGTCAAATTTATACTTACCAAAATCAACTGAAAACTAAGAATTTCAGGTTCTGTCCTACTTTTAGCCAGCAGCCATGCCAAATGATCAAAAGTTTACATAAATTTTCTCAGCCAGTGGTGAACTAGTACTAAGGGAGTATATTATTATCAGATGGTGGGAAATGAAAGGTAACCAAAGACCTGTGACCAGAAGCAAATTGAGGCAGGAGTAGAAACAGGTTCCACCACAAGGAAGACCAAGAGAGAGAATCCAGGCAGTAAGAGCATCCAGATTTTTTTCTCCCCAAATTAAGCGCATCAGCATTGAAAAGTAACAGAAATTGAAGCCACTAGTTTCTGGATTTTTGTGATAGGCAAGGAGGGGCAAACCTCAAACGGTTCAGCGAACTGGTTTAGCTTCTGGAAAGGCATCCAGAGGTCAACACCTTCCCAAGCCCCAACTGAAATTTCATTCCACAGGCTTTATTCACTGCCTCCAGCTTTCAGGCAGGTCAAACAGCCTGAGAATGTGGTTTCACTCAGAGCACATGCTTTCAATCCTTACAAACGCTGACAAGCCCAGCAGAGTGCAGCCTTTTTCTTTAAAGATAATCAAGCCCTTTAAGACCTCAAAACCTTTCCCCAGACACAGGAAGAGCAACTAGGGTAAATGCAGCCTTCCCCAACGGGCCTTCCTCTCCCACCCACACCTCCATCCCCCTGCACTATCGCGATTGCAAAAGAAGGGCTCAAGGAGCTGGCCCTGGTGCTTGGTTTTTAATAACGAGAGGATTTGAGCTCTTGATGAAAAAAAATTCAATTATAAGGCCTTGTTGCAAAATCATACTAATTAGAAAAGATTGTAGCTATGCTGCAACTTTTGCAAATAAACTATAAGTTTATCAACAAAAATGTGAAGGGACTCTGATGTATCTACAATGAAGCATAGAGAGAAACTGCTAATATTATACCTATTCATTAATTGTTAAAGAATACCAGAATCTTCCATTGTAATCCAGAGTCAGGGAGCTGCATGACTGCAGCATTCTAGAGATAAATAGTTCTGTCTATAGTGGACACATTCTTTGTACATTGTGAAGCTGGTTTGTTTAGCTCTCACGATAATGTTGGTTAATATACCAGAACAATAGAAGATTTCTTGGTCTGATTTTGACTGAATCGCCATCCACAGATGAGCAGGCAAAAGAAAATTCAAGTCAATAAATAAGCACAGACTTGAGGGAAGCAACAGGACCAAGGTTTGGAAGAGTGAGGGTGGAGGGAGCATAATCTTGAATATTTAGTAGAAAAGAATGAGGATCTTGTTTTGCTGTATAAAGAGGAAAACTAAGGATGGTGCATGCCTGCAGTTCTAGCTACTTGGGAGGTTGAGGCAAGAGGATGGCTTGAGACCAGGAGTTTGAGACCAGCCTGAGTGATCTAGAGAGACCCCATCTCTCCAAAAAGAAAAGAAAAATACAGTACGTACTATGTACATGTGATTATGAAAAAAAAAGAGGAAAATCTGAGAAGAGAGAAGGTCAGATAAAGTAAATTTTGAAATGAAGACATTTTCTGGATTTCTCTACAAGATTAGTTTGGAGACAGTCTGGCTACTTTCTCCTGAGCAGAGGACCATACTTGCACATGAGCTTGAAAAAATTCGCCTTCCCTTACCTCCATATGCCGTTCCAGCTCTTGCAAGAGAGTAACATACTTTTCCAGTCGCATGAATGGTTTGCTGAGGCTTGTTGTTAAAATGAGTATACCTGGGCTAGATGCACCTTGATTTTCCATAAATTGCTCCAGCTCATCACTAGCAAAAGAACGAATATCATTTTGTTACTGTTGAATATCCCGTGTAAAGAATTATCAACCTAGCATTGTACTGTATTTCACACAAGATAAAACCAAATTAAAATGTGTTTCATTAGTTCAAATGCTGCTCAGTTCATTCCGACTCAATTCAGTAAGCCTTATTCAGCTTTTTCTATGCAATCAGCAAACACTGTGGCCCACACCAGGGCTCCAGTGATGAGCCAGACACTCACGATCCCTGGTGTCACTTATTCATTTAACAACTACTAACTGAGCATGTACTAAGTAACAAGCTCTGTTCTCTGATGGGAATACATCAATGAACAAAAAAATTCCCATTTTTAAGGAGCCAGTGCCCATGGTCATGAGACATACAGTATATCAGATGACCTCAACCTAAGGTTTAAGAAACAGATTTTCTTAGTCACTTCAAGCATTCTAGTTATTGGCTAGTATGCTCCTTATCACCTGCTTATAATGTTCCAGAATCAAGTCCTACATTCAGACAGCGGCATGTTTGTATGACTAACCACAGAGTCACTTAACTTAGGATCTAAAACTCATGCAGCAGGTTACACAAACACTTTCATAAGGCAGCAACTTGGTGGAAAGACATATTAATATTTTGGCTGGGCGCGGTGGCTCAGTCTGTAATCCCAGCACTTTGGGACACCGAGGTGAGAGGACTGCCTGAGCCCAAGGGTTCGAGATCAGCCTGGGCAACTTGGTGAGACTTCGTCTCTACAATAAATCACAAAAACTAGTCGGGTGTGGTGGCGTGTCTGTAGTTCCAGCTACTTGAAAGGCTGAGGTAGAAGGATTGCCTGAGCCCAGCAGGTCGAGGCTGTGGTGGCCATGAGCGTGCCACTGCACTCCAGCCTGGGCGACAACAGTAAGACTCCAACTCAAAATAAGAGTATTAATATTTTATGGACTATGTTCTGTAAATGTAAATGTGCACGTCTAAGCTGGTGCTTTCTCTGACCTTTAGCACCCTTCCAGACTGTTTCCTTTCCACCAACAGGGGTGGTAAGTCCTGAGGCTACAAGACCATTTTAATATAAATGAAAGCAAAATATCATTCGAGAGGGAAGCTGCTGCCTGAGAGCATATTTTGAAACTTTTGCTTTATAACTTGGTTCCTTTACCGCCTTGGTTGGCCATGCATATCCAGTCAGTCCAAGGCTTCTTGGATCTATTCATTCCTTTTCATTCCCACTCCTACTGCCTTAGTTCAGGCCTTCAGTTCACCCCATCTGGCTTTCTTCAACAGACTAGCTGGTATCTCGGCTTCCAGGCTTTCTCCAGGTCCTGCAGATCACCACTTTTGTCCTATTGCTTCTTCCTTCCTTCCTTCCTTCTTTCCTTCCTTCCTTCCTGGCCTCAGGCAGTCCTTCCGTGTCAGCCTCCCGAGTAGCTGGGACTACAGGTGTGTGCCATCACACCTGGGCTTTTAAAAAATTTTTGGTAGAGACAACATCTCGCTGTTTTGCCTAGGCTGGTCTCAAACTCCTAGGCTCAAGCGTTCCTCCTACCTTGGCCTCTCAAAGTGCTTGGATTACAAACGTGAACCACCGGGCCTGACCCTATTGTTTTCTACTCTAGAACCTTTGAGTGCCTATAAGATCTTAACTTTTCAGACTTTTACTGGCCCCACCAACCTTTCTCACTACTCTTTAACAGGAACCCAGTACTGCAAAGTGACCTACTTATTCTCCCTGTAACACATCTTATGCCGTGGTTCCCAAATGTGGTGTGTTGCAAAAGTTGTGAAGTGTGTTCACAGAAACTTGCTATCAGTAATAAAGTACTAGGGGGCTACAAATGGAGTAGATTTCAGGTTATCCCTATTAATAACAGACACTCTCCCTCCTTGGGCTTTTGTTAGCAGGAGAGAAAAGGATGGAGCTTCACTAACACACCAGCAACCTTGAGTCATGCGGTATCACACATATGTCAGAGGAACAAAGGGTGGGGAATGAATGGTTGCCTTAACCAAAGCTAGATCACATCTGAGAGGTCATATCCTGCAATCATCGCTGACTATTTTATCCCTTTTTGCAGTCTTGTTTCAAAAGCAGTCAAAGGGAGAGAAGTAATGATAACAGATCTGGTGATCCTGGATGAGTTGCCTGAACCTCAACTAACTCATCTGTAAAAGAGAGGTAAAACCTACTTCCTGCTGGGCATGGTAGCGCATTCCTGTAATCCCAGCACTTTGGGAGGCACAAGTGAGAGGATTGCTTGAGCTCAGGGGTTCGAGACCAGCCTGGGCAACTTGGTGAGCCCTCACTTCAATAAATCAAAAAATTAGCTGGGCGTGGTGGCATATGCCTGTGGTTCCAGCTACTTGGAAAGCTGACATGGACGGACTACCTGAGCCCAGCAGTCGAGGCTGTGGTGGCCGTGAGCATGCCATTACATTCCAACCTGGGCAACAGATTGAGACCGACTAAAACAAAAAACAAAAAAATCTACTTCCTAATAAAATGGCAAAGATGAAATATTGGAATTTTTAAGGCTAGTATTTCATGCTACAAATTTTACATGCATTTTCTCTTGTTTAATGACAACAACATTTTCAACATAGGTGTTCTCCCCATTTTATAGAAGAGAAATCTGAGTTTCACGAAGGGTAATAGATAGTAAGTGGCCAAGGTAGGGTTCATATCCAGGTCTGAAGCCAAAGCCTCAGGTCTTTTCATGACAACACACTGCTTCTTCACAGGAAAGTAGCTTGTAAACTTTAGTAAATAGATGTGTTCTTATTATTACAAGACGAATACATCACTAAAATCACACTTTTAAAAATTACCAGTACTTGTGATTTCCAACTTAATGGAAATTCAGTTGATGTTTAATTTCCAACCAAGAACATAAAGTACATAAAGAAGTTTAAACATTCATCACATATAAAATATAATTAAGGGAAATAACTTGGATTTGGAGAGTACATTTGATGAGAAATGTAATTTGGAGAAAATCACTTTCTTGATTTCTTTTCAATGTGGTAAACAAGTCTTATTTTTCTCTTTCCATGATTAAATGACTTCCTGCATCTTCGATGTTTTACTCTAATTAATACAAAAGTTACAGCAATTAAAAGCAAATACTGTGTACTTTGTTATTACTTTCCATGCAGCATTCTAACTTCTAGGCTCACTAAATTTGTAAAACAATTAAAAAATTTTTTTCAGTATAACATGTGATCACTATCTTAGATGAAAACACTGGTTCTTGGGAAGAAAAGAATATTTTGCTGGTGCAAAAAAAGAACAAAACTGTCCTATAAAGCCTGTTTATCTATAAGAGATAGATCCTAAAAGACACATTTTATTTAGCCAAATAAATGTAATACAAAAATTAATGTCATTATACATAAATATAATACATAAATATATATTGTTATACCAAAGAATGATCTGTATTTAAAACGCAGTTTTTAATTTTGTACAGCTAGTTTGAAATGGCAATGGGATAAATTTGCTTTTCAAACTTAACATGTTCTGCATATGTGATATGATGCAGTAGTAGCCATTCTCAATGCATCAATGTTGTTAAAAATTCATCATATATTTATATTAGGGTGCATGGTGAATGGGGCTTTGACACATTCTGGGTTGAACTGGAAAGCTGAGAAAACTATGTACTAGAAAATTTCAGAGCTTAACTATCTCACATAATAGTATTTCTGCAGAATCTTTGTATAGACTTTTTTTTTGAGTCAGGGTCTTACTCTGTAGCCTAGGTTGGATGCAGTGACACAATTACAGTTCATTACAGCCTCAAACTCCTGAGCTCAAGTGATCCTCTTGCCTCAGCCTCCCAAGGATCTGCGACTACAGGCATGAGCCACCGTGCTGCCTCTTTGTACAGATTTCTAATTTGAATGATCACGACTCTACCTAACAGAGTCAGAGATTGCACTTCCCCACCTCACTTGCTCCCCCACTAGCCTTCCATGGGAATCACTGAGGCCTAAAAGGAGGAGTTAGGCAAGAGGAGCTGGAAGATCTAGGCTTCTGACCAGTGGAAAATTCCAGGGGCCGTGCTCACACTGGATTGAGTGGCTCCCTATTTTCCTTTTTTCATGTATTCAATTTCAGAGATTAGGCTGTCTGCTTCTTCTTCCCCCCCTCCCCTTTTTGTTTATGATCAGTTTCACTTGCACCCTTTCCTGGTTCCTCAAAGACACAAACACAACAGGACCTAGACTCAAAATGTTTTCTATGCTCTTTGTCCCCAAAGCAAGTGCACAACACTTTAGGATTCTCTCAAAGTTTTCATTGCTGGCAACAATGGCAAACAGAGAGTGAAGAGAACTAACAAGAGGAAAAGTACACAGTGGTGTTTGTGGTAGTCACCACAAGAGGCGGAAGTGAGGTCCAGATCTGTCTTAGTGCCAACTCCTCCTCTCCCTGCTCTCCCTTTAACCCTTTCCCTCATGCAAAGATGGGTTGCTACACAGAAGCAAGCATGGGAGAGAAATGGGTATTTTTGTAAGGGAGAGGTTATTCCCAGTTAGAAACAGGAACTACCATAGCAAGCCAGCAGGGGAGAGAAAGGGGAAATCCCAAAGACCTCGTTCAGGGGATAACAAACAACTGGGGCAGCCATTCAAATATATGCAAATAAAGGGACACATCAAGACTGGGGTCTGATTACATATCCAAATTCAGGTAATACATTACAACTTTTTTTTTTTTTTTGAGTAGGGGTCTCCTTGCTTTGTCACTCAGGCTGGAGTACAGTGGCATGATCTCGGCTCACCAAGTCCCAAAATCCTGGGCTCAGACGATCCTCCAGCCTCAGTCTCCCAAGTAGCTAGGACTACAGGGTAGGTGCTACCACACCTGGCAATTTTTGATTTTTTTGTAAAGATGAGGTCTCACTATGTTGTCCAGGCTGGTCTCAAACTCCTGTACTCAAGCAACCCTCCTGCCTTAGCCTCCCAAAGTGCTGGGATTACAGGCTTGAGCCACTGCTCCCGGCCCATTA